AGAGAGGGAGTTCCAGTTGTAGAGGGTGGCATGGAAGTGGGAGTGTGAGGCTTTGATGGGCTGCCAGGTGAGGACAGAGATGGTGGAGCTCTGTGCCGAGACCAACAGGGGAGGCTGAGCTCCGAGGGAATTCTGGGTCCCTGATATTCCACTAACCAGGGTTGCACTCACATCATGAATGGGAATTTTCTTGTGACACTTTGTGTTTGGAGCCGTGAGCCAGGATGACTCCATTCCCAGTAGCTCCCTGCGTCATCACGTGCTGCTGAGCGCCGGCTGAACCTTATCAACGGAGAATTTTGCAGAGTTGCTGCTGCCATATTGGACGCTTTTTTCCAAGTGATTTACTCTGCTTTGTAATGAGTTGCAGTGATTAGAATCTCATTTCTGTTACTCTGCAGTCCCCGTCCCCCCGCCCCCGGTTAGGAGAAATAAAGGAATCGCTGACGAGAGGCGACTGTCTTGTCTTTAATCAGGTGCTCCCTGATCTCACTTTGTCAGCTGCTTGTGCTCCAGATAAATCCAGCCTGGGGCAGCCCCCTTTCCCTGTCAAAAAAGAATGATGATGGAGGGGAAAGAAGAGAGACTGGCAAGATTGGGGGTATGCAAGAAAAACAGGGACGCTATAGTAGGCGGTGGTGTTAATGTCGTGTTGGTCAACACAGGGAAGAGATCCCAAATCCTGAGTTACTCAGAGCAAGACTTTGGGGTCAATTTAAAATCCAAACCCAAACCTCCCCCCAGGTGGCTTGGAGTGGGAATTAGACGTAGCTAGAGTCTCAGTTGTGCTAAGACTTCTCTTTCCCACAGAAGACTTCAACTGACTTCACCCAGACTTATATCTGGGAGTGTGTTGTGATGGGAAACCTAGAACCGCTGAGTTACCGGGAGGGTAACTTTCCACTCCATCCTTGAAGTTTTAGGCAGATCAAAAAGGACTCATGGGGACATCTCTCTCTCTTTCTCTCTCTCTCTCTCTCTCTCTCGCCTAGCTGTTACCAGCTGGCTAACATTTGCCCTTTCTGGGTGGGTTGGGGGAGGCATTTCCTTTCTAGCCTGGGGACCCTGGCGTGGGTCTCCCAAGTCCCATATTTATACATCCTGTACAGTTTTAGGTAATCAGAAAATGCAATATTGCTGTCACCGGCTCGCCGATGACACCCAGCCTGAGTAATTTAACATGTCAGCACCATCCATCACAGAGACGCAACCCGCAAACATATGAAAAGCTGCCGAAGGGGGCGGAGATGGTGGCTGGCTGTGAAGCTTGCTGGTCAGTCCATTTCCTAGCGAAGAGCGTGGAGAGCATGTTAACCCCTTCCGGGACGTGGCTGCAAAGGAACACGACCGGACTTGTATTCCTTTCCTGTAAGCCCTAAAACCTTGGATTGCTTGGGCTTTGCTATGGCATTGACTCCTGAAAATATCTTGCCAACACAGAGAATGGCCCAAGCAATAGAGGTGGGAGACTCTGTGTACATTACAGGTTACTTCAGTATAACTTAAGTCGCTCACGGGTGTGAATAATCCACACCCCCGAGCGACGTAAAATATACCGACCTAAGCTTTGGTGTAGACAGCGCTACGTTGGTGAGAGAGTTTCTCCCGCCCACGTAGCTACCGCCTCTGGCGGAGGCAAGAGTTATTAAATTGACGAGAGATAGCCATGACCTGTCGGCATAGAGTGTCCCCACCACAAGCACTGCAGCAGCTCGGCTGCACGGCTGTAAGTGCTGCGGTGTAGATGTAGCCGGAGAGACTGTTGGTCAGATAACTAGGGTTCATGCGTACTTCCATTCCCATCTGCATGGGTTCTCGCTGCCCCGAGTTTTGAATCTGACTCTGATTCGAAGCTGCAGAATCTCCCCTGGTTTTGAGCTCCACAAGGAGCAGGGAAGCTGGCCAAACCCTCACTTAGACCCCAGCGTCGGCCCAGGCGCTCTCCGTGAGCCTGGGCAAACCCTCGGATGGCCTGGGGCTAAGTTTCAAGCTTGGGATGGGACCTGTACCCTCATGAGCTCCACACGCATTCAGGTTTCCTTGCAGACTTTTCACACACGCTCTCTCAAGTAGCTTTCATCTCAAAATGCCCTGCTCTTCCCCAAGGGTAAATGCTGGCTCTTCTCCTGGATATTGACTAGCCTGGTAGTTTGCGGTGGCAGTCCCTGGCGGCATGCCCTTGTAGTCTGGCATTGATCCTCTGTGGAAATCAGGTGCTCAGTGCTAAGAGTGATTAGGACGTGGCAGGAAGGCAATGCGGCTCGCCCGCTCTGAAGATCTACCGTCTCTGTAGCAGAGTATTGTTTAAAGCCTTCTGCCTTGTTGCCATGAGTTCAGGTGGCAGGAAGCCTCGAGCAGTTAATATAGCCATTTCCGCATGCTGATAATCCTTTACTGTTGTGTTAACATGTTCCGATCGTTTGCTATCTTTTAGGACCTTAGTGGAAATATTCACGTAGCGGCAGGTAATTAATGGCTGCACTTTAGTGCCCTAAATCACACACTCGGTAGTAAAACACCAAGCAGCAGGCACCGTTCACCGTGGCGAGAATCATTGCAGAGCCCTTAATCGCTCCTGGTGCCCTCTGGGTTGTCTTGTAGCTTTCGAGACCAGTGCCGACACGCAGCTTTCAGGCCACCTGCTTTGGAGAGCTTGCCACCCTCCGCTCGCATACCCTCCTCCCTTTCCTGCCTGCGGGCTGCCTTCAGGAGTTTGGAGGTGCCCTCAGCAAGCTGGGTCCCTGGAGGGTCCCTAATCCGCAGCCACGTGGTGACACTGGCATCTCATGCCATGCACTTTGAGGATGAGAGGAGCTGGATAGATGGATGGTTGTGTTTGTCTGGACACCTGTGTTCAAACCCATTCCTGCCGCACCAGGGAAGGACTGAATAAGAGGTCATATTCCCTTATTGATGCAGCAAACTCTTCGAGGTGCAGGAAGCCCCAAGGTGCCACTTCTGCATTGTCCAGGGGTCCACTTCCAAACGGCCAGCAGTGTTGCCAGTGGAGGGCTGGTTGTGTCATCTCCCCTTTCAGGAGCGGGGCCTGTTCTCGGCACCGGATTCTGGGCGGACTTGACACAGCACCCTCTGCTGGAGGGCCTAGATGGCTTAATGGATTGATTGGATAGGATTTCTGGTCTTTTGCATTGCATGAGTGGTCTGAATGCAATCTAGGCTGGTGGAGACTAGGACTCGTCCCTAGCTGAAGGCTATTGAGTTCCAATTTGAGATGACAGAGTCCTGTAGCACCTTATAGACTAACAGACGTATTGGAGCATAAGCTTTCGTGGGTGAATTCGAAGTGGGTATTCACCCACGAAAGCTTATGCTCCAATACGTTTGTTAGTCTATAAGGTGCCACAGGACTCTTTGTCACTTTTTACAGATCCAGACTAACACGGCTACCCCTCTGATACTTGAATGGGAGATGAGTTGATTTAGTTCCTAGTTGGGGAGTGTTCCCATCACCATATTTTGCCCTCAACCCCCCGCACCCATTATTGGTAGTCTCCGCAGAGGCTAAGGTCTGAATGTGCCAAGTCACCAAGGGCAGAGGCACGCTGGTGAGACTATGGGGGTGAAGCTGGCTCTGCCCCTCCTGTGCCTACGGGCTCTGCTGATAGACAGACACCGGTCTGCAGGGCTGTGAGTTCAGTACATTTCCCCAGCTCTCTCCACTCCACCCCCCCCCCCAATCTGGTGATTAAGAATTTTACAGGGCAGAAGGTGCAATTTCATTTGCTGGACCCTTGCCAAGAAGTGTGGAAATTGTACTTCTGCATAGAATAAAGGGGCTTTAAAACAGTAAAATATTTTAATGGCAGTTCAGAGGGCCACCGTCAGCCTCCAGAGGCCTCTTTTCTTTTAATTTTCCATGAGGATTGGCAGACTCGTGCCAGGTCTATTCCTAACTTGATTTTTTCTAACTTTTGCTGCTCCGAAATGTTTAAAACCACTGTGTGGGAGAGGAAGGGGTGGGCTCTGCCTGGTCAAATGAGTCTGATTGCCTCTGAGTGCGCCTAGCCGGGGGCACGGATCAGACCAGTGAACATGTTAACTTTTGGGCATGGGCAGGCTCATCCTTCCACAGTTTGTTTTTGTTCCTCAGGAACATCAAAGCAAAGGGGGCGGGGTCAAGTCACAGCTCCATTTTTCTTCCCTGCTGTTTGAATTGCAGTAGAGCCTAGAGGCTTCATCTGAGACCACAGCTCTCTAGGCCCACAGCAGAGATAGCTTATGGTCTAGACCAGGGGGTTCTCAAACTGGGGGTCGGGACCCCTCAGGGGGTTGCGAGGTTATTACATAGGGGCTCGCGAGCTGTCAGCCTCCACCCCAAACCCCGCTTCACTTCCAGCATTTATAATGGTGATAAATATATTTTTAAAAAGTTTTTAATTTGGGGGGGGTCATACTCAGATACTTGCTGTGTGAAAGGGGCCACCAGTACAAAAGTTTGAGAACCACTGGTCTAGACCCACCCAACAAAGGGAGAGGAAGCAACTTGACCAAGGTCGCACAGCCAATCAGTGGCAGATCAGGGAACAGAACCCAGGTCTCCTGACTCTGTTTTATGTCCTGTACTCTGGACCACATTACCTCTCATCTCTGCCTGCTGGCCTCTGAGGCAGATATGTGACACTCCATGTGGTTCACTGTGCATGGGTCCTTAGGCGAGCAGCTTAAACTCAAGGTCCTCAGTGCCATGTAGATAGTAAGCTCGTTAAGGGAGGGACCATTTTTTGTTCTGTGTTCGTATAGCACCTAGCACACTGGGATCCTGATCTATGACTGTGCCCCTAAGTGCTACTGCAATACAAATAATAACACCCGGCCTTTAATGATCCCGTGTCTTTATTTGGAGAAGCGAGGGTTTAACGAGATGGCAGAAGGGGAAGCTGGATAATGATTTCCTGAGCTTGGCTGGGGAGCTCACAGCCAAGGTTTGCGGCTGAGCACTTCAGACGCCAGTACTGAATTGTCTCCTCACTTCCTTGCAGGTGGAATTGGGTTTGGACGTGCCAAGGGAAACTCTGGCTCAGAGGCAGATGACGAAACCCAGCTGACCTTCTATACCGAGCAGTATAGGAGCCGGAGACGGAGCAAAGGTAAATAAAAGAACCTTCAGTGACACAACAGCTGTTAAGAGGCAAAAGAAACAAACGCTCCAGTTTCCCTCCTTTCGCTGCGCCCCCCGCTTAAGACGTCTGAAATCATTTGACTCTCGGTCCATAAGTACAAATCTTCATGCCCGATAGCTAACATCAGCCTATTCATAAATATTTCCCAGCCTGGGACTATCCCTGACAGCTAGTAGCATGTGGGAGACATTAGCAGTTTCCTAGTGATTATATTAATTGGCTTAGTTGCTTGTTCATGGCTATTCCCTGGTTTCCAATATCAGCCACATTAAAGATTAAGGAAGCACTGATCAATGACCCCAGTATTTCCTTCCCTTCTTTCCCCTTGATGCACCAGACCCCCAGCATGCTGGAAGTGGAGTTGGATGGATGGAGCTGGTCTTGTCCCCGGTTTTGAACAGTATACAGCTAATTGGAAAAATATCCATCACTGAAACACTCAGTTGTAGATCTGAATTAAGGAAACGGGGGTGTGTGGGGGGGAGCACAACCCTTTGCAAGTCTCCAGCTAAGTACCGTTTCCAGTGCATTAAATTGTAACTACAATGGGTGTTCATTACAGCCTTGTTAACAGTATCCTGGAGATCCTGTTTTAAGGCCTTATAGACGCTAGGCATTTCAACCACTGGCAGCCTGCCACTGCACCAATTCAAACCTCCGACGTCAACACACCCAATTGTGATAAGCCACGGCTTGTACTGGGAAAGCTTACTACCAATGGCAGTGGTGCTCAAAGTGTGTACACTAGGGATTTGTGTTGGTGCAACCGGGCTATTGGTCCAGCCACCAATGTGGTGGCGTCTCCTGAGGCTCGATTTCTGTCACTTAAAGTTTCTCAGCAAATTTCCTATTGGACTTGAACTTTCCATGCTTGTTCTCAGCACAAAAGCAATAAAAAAACCAAACACAAAATTGAGGTTGAGAGAGGGACTTAATCTCGTAAATCATGTTGTGAGTTAAAAGAGAGAAAAAGTCTCTTCTGTGGTTTGAAATTACTTCCTACATTTTTCCCCATTCAAATAACGCCAGGGATCACTTTGTTTCTGAGCATCTGGTCTAGTGTGTATTTAGTCCTCAATAGGGGAAATATGTGACTTTTGTTGCTAAGTCTGAAAACCACCATTAAGAAATAACCAAGTTGGAAAGTGATTTTAAGATTGCACCGGTGGCTCTGAGTCCCGAATTTGTTTTCCTGGTTAAGCCAAGCAGAGTCAGCATGCAGCATTCCAGATAGATGCCAGAGCCCACCAATAAATACAGCTCCATTTATGTCCGTGATTAGGCATTCAGATAAATGCGCATAACATGTTTATTTCAATGTGAAATTACCTCCACACCTACGGGTGGCTCAGTGATTTCACATTAGAACAAACACACACATTGCATTTATTTCTGCGGAGTAGGATTGCGTTCAGGTGTGTTCTTGTATCTTCATTCTTTTAGAAGAAAAGGAAAGCCAATGTTACAAAAATTCTCACTGGAATTATACTTGTGCTTTTAAGCACGGAAAGTTAGTAAAGGCTCCCCGTGGCAACATTGCCTTAGTCACGTTAAAGATAAAGGCCTCAATTTTGGAAAAGGGGCTAGTGAATTTGGGTGCCTCAGTTTTTGCTGTGGAAGGAGTTCCCCCACTTCAAACAGTCGTGTAGAGAACAATCCTGCAATGGTTGGAAGACAAGGTAAATTTTTCAAAAGCATCCAAGTGACTGAGACCCCACGTCTCACTGGGTTTCAAGGAATCGCTTTTAAAAATGGGACTTAGGGTACTAAGTGATTTAGGCACTTCTAAAAACCCCACCCATGGGATTCGGTGTTTGTTTCTCAACCAGTGGGTTGTTACCTCTGAGGGTGAGAGTAGGGAAACACAAAAGGCAATCGGGGGGTCACGAGTCATTGGAGCTTTTATTACAATCTAAAGCAAATAAATTCTTGCTCCTCCTCTCCCTTCCTCTTCAAAGTAAGTGTTCTCTGTCTGGTTATCAGTTATACTTTACATTTTTTACTCTTATTGTTATACTAAAGGGAGGACTGTGAAATTTTTTTAACTCAAATAAGGGGTCGCCAACCTGAAAAGATTGAGAAACACTGAGTTAGATGATCTAATGGGAATAACCCATCTGTCGCTTCAGTGGAACCATAAATCCGGTTTTGCTAGATGCACAAATGACCTTGGCTATTTCTCCGTTAACCAGAGGGGTTTTTTTTTGGTTTGTTTTTGGTTTTTAAATAAATAAGCTCCCTGAATAAAAACTCCATTGCCTTTCTCTGTTGCTTGGTTAAACTACCTTTAACGGCGTCTTGGAAGAAATTTTCCATCGTTGTCTTAGCTCCCTTGTGTGAAGAAAGCACTAGTTTAGTGGGAAGTTTCAGCATAAAAATCATAATTACGGCTACAACAAAGATCCATAATTGGACAGGCTCATAATTCTAATAGAGAAGGATGCGGCGTCAGATAGAGTTTATTGTTACAATGATGTTCTAATATTGATTCCACGTGGCTGTGTGTCATTGTAGGTGCAATGAGATAGTCATTATGTCCAATGAGAGAGATCTTCCCTGCAATTGCTCTCCTTAGACCAGTTTTTGCAGGACAATGTACAATTACTGAAGCATCTGTGGTGCTTATCAGAGTTGATGTGGTGGGAAGTCTTCAGATGTATGTGATTTGTTACTTACAGCCTGCACGATAACTTCCATTTATGTCTAAACGATCCTGTAAACGCAGGATCACACATGGATTTTCTTTGTGCTTTGGTCGAGTAAGCTAGTTAGGTGGCTGCACATTATAATTGTCTCAAGTGGCTGCAGGTTGCACACATCAAGGGATGCCGGAGGAATTGTTCGAGAGGGTAGGCCAAAGGGACATAAATAAATTGTCCATAGTTGTTGTTTTTGTGTAGGTGAGAGGGAGGATATTCCTAACAGTGAGGTCTCTGACAGTGGAATAGTCTCTCATGAGAAGGTGTCAAAACCTGCTTGATTGTTTAAACCTGGAATGGACAAAACATTGAGAGTATAACAGAGAGAATCAGTCTACACTGGCCTGGAATACAGACTGGTTGATGTAGTGAGAGTCTTCTCTCTCTAATCTCTGAATTCTGTGATCCCGGTCATACCATGTTGGAGATCTTCCCATCGTATAGTGCTGGATCCCTTCACTGGTGGGCACTAATGTTCCTATGTCTTTGAAATCACCTCGGAGATAATGGGAAGAAACATGAGGAAACCAAGGAGAATTTTCCCTCGGTCGGTGGTGCAATGTTCCCATCCAATGTCTGTCTTTCTGTCTGTGCTCAGTCCAGTCCGTGGTGGAAACTAGAGGCTGGATGAAGGCATGAGATTTGAATCCGGAAAGAACTAAAGCTTAATGCTAATCAGGCGAGGTCTTTGAGTGGCTGGCTAGCACCATCTCTTTGCCCTTGTTGGAGGGCACATGCACTCTTGCATGAAGCCTATTGGTCATCCTGGGCTTGTTGCTGACCATGGAGAATCAAAC